CCAAAGTTATGCATTTTACGTATTTAATTGTTACAATTTAATAAAGACAAATTACGAACATAAAATAATAAAATATTAGAAGATGCAGTTCTGATGTCCACTGACGAAAGTGATATAAACAATATTGCGCTGATCTTTCCTTCAGGCAAACATCATTAAACAAAACCACAGAAGGAAGCCATATTGGCCTTTGCTTATAAACTGTAGCTGATCATAAGAGGCATTATAATATTGGAAGTCTAAACAATGTCTCCAGTGCATGACGAATGAGTCGGCAAACTATTGTCTTACTAGCTGTAAAGATAAGACCAATTTCACAATATCACGTTTCCTATCTGTTGATTAGCTTTGGTCCTGCTTTGGTCTCTGAATTTTTATTCGCTTTTCAATACATACTCTGCACTGGAATATAGGTTTGACGGAGAGACATTCATAAATGAACAATGTGAACTAAAATCACTTTGCTGTTTCGTCTCTAATAAGTTTTTAAAATGGTTTTCTCTGATACTTCCGTAACAGGCTCTACAGTTTTTCATATTGAGTTTACATGTTTAAAGCGAGATTGGCCGTGATTCTTTTTCATTTTCAATCACCTTCAGAAGTAGTCCCTCGAAACAGCGACGTGATCGGATTAATTTAAGGCTTAAGCAGACCGTTGTGAGACAAAACAAATGATTTTAGCATTGCCTCTAGTCCAGCATTTGTCCAACTTATGAATAGACTGTTTTGATCAAATTATCATCTCAAGAACACAGAAAATTCGCTTTTAAAAGAACTAAATTGAGGACTGTTACTATTTGTCACAGATTTTTTTCCCTGTAAATAGATACACATGTTTAAAATAAGGTCCAGATTTTTTTCTCAAACGAACACCTTATATAAATGCATATCTCGGGGCTTTTAGCACATTCCTCTCGGAACAAAAGATGTCTACTTCAATTGCCTTTATGTACGATTTTTTAATTAGTTAAGAAGCTGACCTTTTTCGGAATTTGGCTGAAGTTCCCGTTTGTTTTCAAACTCGCCGCTGAGACAAACACTAGTAGGACAGAAGGGTCGACACACATGAAAGAAAAATTTGGTTATCATTTTGCAAGCCCAGTCGCATCTGACGTTCTTAGGTAATTTGTCACTTCTAATTAACAGGGTTATGGTCGAAGAAGAAGAAGAATTAACAACTTAACACAGTCATGTTTTTATTTAGGACGACACAAATTCCTTAGTAACATGAAAAACACTGTGAACATCTATGAACAACAAATTCGGACGGTGCAGCGGCTAAACTTTTGCGAGGCAGTGATATAAAGAAAGAACACTGCAGTACGATGTAACTAACTTAGAATAGCGACGTTGCTTGGCAGTGGTTGTGCACGAAGAAAATTGCAGTCACAGTTGTGGGTGAAAAATTGTTCCTTTCGCTCAAAGACATAAAATCAAACATTTCGTTGCCATGAAAACTCTAACAATTAACAACAGCGGGCGATTACGCGGGATACCACCTTCAACAATGGCGAAACAAATGCATTCTAATCGAAAAGAGAGCAACACTCGAATTCCAATTGCGCAACCAATCAAAAAGTAGCGAGCACCCTAAGGGTCCTGTTCCAAAGCTTAACTTGCAGCCCCGCCAAACCTTTTCCTCCGTCGCTTCGCAACAACGTTGGACAATTTGAGGTAAGTACTTTACAGTATATACTTGTGCTTCTATCATTACGTGCGACCTTCTTCACATCGAGAGCTGGATACTGTGAGCCAAAATACACTGTCAGGTATTGCTGGTTTACTATCTGGCGCAGTTTTTCCAGGCAAATGTTTGAAGCATGTGGGTTCTCTAATCCCGCTTTAATGGTATACGAGCTGTTTACTTTACTACGGCCATTCCTCGTAGAAGATTCTCTTCACAAGTTCGCTTGACTAAGTAAAACTAGTGCCTTTGTTTTATACGAAAGTTAAGAACTACTTTAAACCTGTATAAGATCAGGCGCATATTCCACGACTGATTTTTTGTTAATTAGCACAAGCTTAGGTAAAGTAATGAAAATGTTTTATCGCTTGTACTCGTATGCTTTCAGAAGATATTGTGTGTTTTAAGAAAAGTAAGTACTGTAACTTGTGTAGGCTTAACTCAAATTTGGATCTTTAATAGCGTAGACAAAATAGGTCAAAAGAAGACTACATGTGTTATTCTATGCAAACACAATTATTGCTTCATTGTAGTAGCAGGAATAAATTACGAGCAACTTCTAGAACTCAAATTTTTTGGTCGGGACAAAGAAGAAACGAGGGAACGTTTAAAGTCTATAACACAAATAAAGCTAAACATCATTAAAGAAATATTATCAAGATTCGCCGAATGCATTTTGTACATTTAATTTAAGAGTGCATATAATTCAACAACTATTTGATGTAAATGAGTTCTATTGTTTTATATCTCGCTGTCGTAGACTTTTCGAAATTTTTTCAATGCGTATTACCTGATATAACGACTCTCAAATTTCGCTTATTAACTCCTCAGGTGAACTTTTCAGTCAAGTTCATTAGCAATGATAACAGCTTCAAATAGTCGAAGCATTTCTGTCAAAAACGAGAATTATATAAACTTTATCAATGCAGTACAAGAATAGAAGCATAAACATGAACGTTAGTGGATTATTTTATATAATTCTATTCCGTAGAGTAAACCCCGAAGAATCTACAGTTCTAATAATATTTTTTGGGGGTGAAGAGTGTGCTTGTATCCTTTCTTTTCTTTTCACATTTTTGTGTACATTTAGATTGTGCAATTAAGCAAGCAAGTTGCCAAAACCTCCTATGTCAAAACAAATCAAATTAACTGAAGTACTTACTCGTTTTTTCTCTTTTTTTTCTCCCATTTCAGGAAAACTTTACCGAGTGAATGATGGACAAGCTTTTTTTAATTGCATTTGTGTGTATTAGTGGAGTTTCCCTTACTTCTGGTGCAAGTAAGCATGCATGTTACATGTACTACTAAACTATTTCAGCCGATAGGTCCGCAATGCGTACGCATACATAGAGAGACATAGATACATAGAGTAGCCTTATTGGTGGTGTTTATACAATCAAGACAAAATGCTGTGACTAGATATACGAAACCTTCTTTTATATAGCAGGTGTGTCCATTTTATAAAACGAGCCCTGAATTCATTAAAGCAATACTATTAACTATATTAATTTACTTAAGGTAACCTGCAAAACTACGCAACAGTACTATCGGTCAATTTCACTGGCGAAAACAATGGCCATTCCCTACAGATAAATGTTCCCCCCTTCAGATACTTCGTCAATGGAGGTGGTCTCTTGGGTAACTTCACCACCGCCCAATTTCACCTTCACTGGGGATCCAGTGACTCCAAAGGATCAGAGCATAAAATTGATGGCAAGCAATATGCTGCCGAGGTAAGTGGAATTATTCCTTGCTTTTTTCGACTAAAGGAGCTGCTATGTCACGTAAATTTCACAAGCTTAGCATGTATAAGTAGACCTTCTCTTTGCTTTATCGTTGCTTCTATTTTGAGGCTTTCCGTAATTTGAAGGTAAGTTCGCTCATAAATACCCAATCACTCGAGAGGCTAGCAGCCACACAAATTTATTGGAAAAAAAGGAGGTGTTTTCATAGGGGAAGAGTTCAACTTCCACAGGATTGGTTTGGGACCCCAACATAGCTGCCGTTTTATTATGTTAGTACACTTGCCGAGGCGTTATGCGAAAACACTCTTTACCTTTAAACCGACTTCTGTGTTAGTGTCGCTCATTTTACCCTTTTCTTATTATGTTCTATTTTATATTAACAGATCCATTTTGTCAGCTTTAATGTCAAGTACGCAGACTTGAGCACTGCGGCGAATGAGTCAGATGGTCTAGCCGTCCTTGGTGCTTTCCTGGAGGTAGAGTGGGCTTTCTAAACCTCTTTCCCAGGCTCTGTTCTTCCTGTCCCCGTGGTGCTCAACCTCTTTCCCAGGGCTTTCCATCCAAT